ACGGGGGGCCGGGCGCGCCCGCCGCCCCCCCCCCTTCTTCCAGAGAAGCGAGACCACTTTGTACCAAAGAGATTTATTTGCATGTAAATAATCGCGGGGTTGGGGGTTTTTTTTGCAGTATTTCCAAAAAAGTTTAAAGTTCGCTCTATGTCCAAAAAGAATGCAAAAGGAGGGGGGGTTATTTACCAAAAAAAGCAAATTTCCAGACAGGTATTTACATCACCACCATTTCGGAAAGAACCATTTTCTTTTAATCTCCATGTGCACTTCCCCACCTGAGATTAAAAGGTTTGGCTTTTATTTTCTTTACACCTTTTTATCTTTCCAATACTGAAAGATGTAAAAGAATTGTCGAGCAGAAGCAAAAATATTTTAAAAATAAAAACATTTTGTCAAGAGACCGAGCATTTTACAGGTCAAAACGCCTTGCGTAGTCACGTAACTCAACTATCATCACGGCGACAGAAACGTCGAGCGGCCGGTGCCCAGCTCCAATCTCCCCCCCCCCCCCCGATTTATATCACACGACAGGGATGGGGACAGGGCACCAAAATGGGGCGAAAAGCGTTAAAACTGGTGTCGGGGAGGCCGGGAGGAGGCTTTGTTCCCTCTGTTCCTGCAGGCGAGGGTGATGCCCATCTTCCGCAGGAGAAATTTAGGATGTTGGGACTTTGGTCTTGGGCGAGCGGGGAAGGAAACGCGTGCGGCTCGTTCCTTTAGAACGCGTTTTTGTGTTCATTACAAAGCTGCGCGGTATTTCCTTCCCACTTCTACTGTGTTTTACCCCTGGTGAAACGTGACTCCGGTTAACGAGTCCAGCAAACGGCCCCCCGTTAAATCCCCAGCCCCAGAATGACGATTTGAGAAGTGCGCTGCCAGTTAAAAGAAGGAAGAAAAATTTTAAAAAAAGGCAGCAAAAAGCAAAAGGAAAGCCCCAGGGGCTGCAGCCACAGAACCAGATTGCAGAAACGAGGCCGTTTTCCACCCGCGCGCGCACGCACGCCAGCTGTGCTGTCGCCGTTAATGGAAGTATTCGTAGTGGATAAATTAAGCCCGGCTCTAAAGTGTTCGCGGGACCGGGATGCGGGCGGCTTAACAGTCCGTCGCTTTACGAAGGCAGCATCGGGGGCCTCGGGGGAAGCTCTGTGCGTCAGGCTTACAGCTGGAGACGGTCGAGTCCCTTCTCCATTCGGATTTGCTCCAATGCACGCCAGAATTCCACCACCGTCACCGAAGCCACAGTGGCCACGCGTGGGCAGAGCTGCCCAAATCCACGGGCGTTACCCCAATTCCCAAGTCCCTTTGGGCTCGGCCTCGTACAATTGAAACAAGAGGTCGCGTGCAAAGGAGCAGCGCGAGGCATTCAGGGGCGGAGAGAAATAAATAGCTAAAACGAAAGGGAAGTCAAACGTAAGACAGCAATCCTTCATCACCGTGACCTGGAATAAAATCCCGATATCCATCGGAACAGAGCGCCCGGTTCTGCAGAGCAGCTCGTGTCAGAGGAAGTTCCTCAGCACCGCACTGAACCAGGCACTGAATGAAGAAACGCCACAAAAATAAATTAAAAAATGTTTTTGTTTTTTTTAACTCTTCCAACCACCCTTTTTAAAAAGAATAAAACCCAACCCTAAAACATACCCTAAAATAATTAGTTTAAAACTTCCTAAAACCAAAAGCAACTTCATTCTGAATGGGAACAAGGGCGGAGGAACTCAGGCTCTCCCAGAATAGCCAAGGTTTCTGTTTGCACTAGTTTGGGGGCTGCTCCCATGCTTCCCCGCACACACTCGGCTTCACATCCATTAACTCGAATGGGGTAATACTTATAAATTAAGTGTAAGTGTCCGCAGGATGAAGGCCACAGTCGGGAACCCGGCTTGCCGAACGAGCTGCTGGCACTCACACTTTCTCTTCAGGCTTTGGAGATCCTTGGAAATACTTTTTTCCTTTTAGGTTTTTTTTTCCTCGCCGAACACACCCTGTAAAAATCAGCGTGGCAGCTTTGCAATGAGTCCTCCCTTCCTTTCCATCTCTAGCACCCGCAGGTCCTGCGTACAAGCTCATCTTTTAAAGACGCTAAGAAAATTAATTGCCAATTAAAGCAACATCCATGAGATCATCATCTTCTTCCCCGATTAAAAACTCAGGGCTAGCCCGGGATGGCCGCTCGGCCGAAAGGATAGCACTGCTGGTCATGGAGAGAGACTGCTCAGCTGAAATCGGGGACTTGGACCAGCTCTCCGGCTTCATGCTGTGCGATTTCTTCTTGTCCCTGTCTTTATCTCGATCCCGATCTCTGTCCCGGTCTTTGTCTTTCACTTTTTTCTTCTCTTTTTTGTGCTTCTTGTGTTTTTCCGAGCTATATTCAGGTAAAGGCCTAATGCCATCGTCAGAGCTGGGGCTGTTCTGATAGGATTTCTCCGCTATGGAAGAGCCCGACTCACTCTCACTGTCTATGTTTTGGGGAGTGTATGCTGGTGACTTACTGTGGCTGGGAGAGCAGCGCTCGTGTTTTGGAGTAGATCCACTGATTAGAGGGGACCCGTAGCTTTTGGAAGAAGCCATCTGAGGCCGTAGGCTATCCCCACCTCCTTCCCCGGGCTTCTGCAAAGTTACTTTGGCTTTAATGCTAGGGGAACCACCATCGTGTTTACTGATGATAATTTTGGCCACTCCAGTGCTTCCAACGTTTTTGGAATCTGAAGTCTTCTTGGAAGAGTCAACAGATCCTCCAGAAACAGAGACTTTAGACTTCTCTTTGTCACTCTTCTCACGTTTGCCCTGGAACTCGCCTCCAGACATATTGTGTTTGGAGGACATAGTATGGCTTGAGGAATTGGAACTTGGCCCCATTTGTCCATCCATCGGGTCATCTCCACCAGGCCCGCTAGTGACAACCCCGTGTTTAAGTTTGTCTATGACTGCAGTCAGAGATGGCTTCTTGTTTCTGCTTGGAGACTTGCCTTTGGAACTTCCATGCTGGTTTTGAGATGAAGACATGGAAGACCCACTGGATGAAAAGGAAGATGAAGATGCCGTCGAAGAATTCGATGAAGGAGGCGGTTTCTGCGACATAGACCCAGAGGATCCCATTCCTGAAGACGATTTCATACTTGAGCTTGATCCGGTCCCAGACATATGGGAGCCTCCGGAACCTGAACTGATAGGCGACTTTGCTTTAGATGATGGGGGAGTACCTGGGACAGGTTTCATGGGAGAAGCAAGCTTGTCGGAACCTCCCGAGGGTCTAGAATGAGATGGAGAGATGTTTGGTTTACTCATGGAAGGGTTCATAAGTGACGATGGCTTTCCTTGAGGTTTCATCTTGGTGCTTCCAGAACCGCTGCTGAGGCCATGTTTGGTGATGGGGGAGGATCCGGGCTTTCCCACCGACTGAGCTGAGCTTTTGGATTGACCTGAACTTGAGCCACCCTGGCTCGAGTAGAGGCTGCTGCTCATCTTTGAGCCAGAAGATCCTTCTGATTTGCTGCTTTTCATTTTGCCTGAGGTTGAAGAGGAGGAAGAAGAGGAGGAGGAGGAAGAATGGCTATGATGGCTTTTGCTGCTGGAGGAGGTGACAGAGCCACTACTCGTATACTGGCCATGTGAAGACGGTTTGCCAACAGTCACTGTTCCTTTTGGGATCTGAATGGTTATTTTTGGAATAGGAGGAGTAGCTACACCGGGAGGAGTCTGAGATCTGCCTGAACTCCCAGGAGATTTGGACCCACCTGTGCTTGCTGGTGGCGTGAAAGGCCTGTTTGATGAACTGTGAGATGGAGATTTCCCATCTGTCTCCTGCTTTTTCCGCTTCGGAAGCTTCTCTTTACTTTTACCATCACTGGAGGGCGTCCGGCTGCGCTTCCCTGGCTTCCCGTCTACCCCGGGACCTGCCATGTTACTTCCAGAACCATTGCCTTCCTTTACCCGTTTCTGAGACTTTTCTTTTCCCAAATCCCCTGTATTCAGTAAAGGGCTCTGACCTCCACTGTGATGCTCCATGATGTCAGAGGACCCCAGAGCTTTGCTTGCAGCTGCAATAATACTAAAATCTACCGTATCGGACTGATTGCCCCCCTTAAATTTGCTTTCCCCCCCATCAGCCCCCAAGACCTGCACCCCCAAAGTAGTTAGAGCCTGGGATGCATAGCCCTTGAAGTCATCAGTGTCTCCACTCTGACTACTCTCGTCAAAGTACTCCTCCCCGAAGCCACTTTGACTCTGGCTGTTCAGCAAGTCAGGATTGAAATCTACTCCATCTGGAAAAAAATGGTTTGAAGAATCGCTGTTGGGGCTCACAGCAGCGTCTGCTATCAGGTCTGCCGGGTCCGTGTACGGGTTCTCACTATTGTTTGTCTGAAAAACGTCTGGGTCAAAGAGGGCACTTTGTGAATGTCCTGAACTAGAAGAGTCTCGGACTGGAGTACCAATGGGTGGACAGTCCTCATTAGTGGCGGGTAGCTTGGAAGCCTCCTCTGCTATATCCGAAAGGATATCAGTAACATCGGCTCCAATGCTGTCCGAACTAGAAAGTCGAACCATTCTCTGAATACTGGGCTGCGAGTGAGGTATCGGCTGTGGGTATGTAGTAGGAGGAGTGCTGCACTGGCTGGGGGCTGGAGTGATATGAGGGGTGTCCAGGGTATCCGCAGTCATGTTGACATCAAAAATGGGATTCTGGGAGTCAACATCCATTGAAAAGAGCTCCCTCTGAAAATCATCCTCAGTCTGATGCTTGGGCTTGTCGGCCGGCATGCGGGATTTTTTTTTCTTTTGCTTATTCCCCCCAGGGCCCATTTCCATTCTGGGGGAGCCAGAGGAAGAATTCTGCCTTTCAAGAGGACTGCTCCCATATAGAGTGGAGAAATCCTGAGGGGCATTCTCTTTAAGAAGGTTCATGAGCATGGGGTGGTTCTTGGTGTTGCTGGCTGGTGAGGATACTGGTGGTGGTGTGTGATGGGGAGGGGTCGGACTTGAGCCAATGGTAGACCCCACATTCCCTGTGATCTGCAACAAACTAGTGAGAATAGGGTTCTGAGACACTTTGCTGAAGTCCTCCCCATGGCCCACCGAGTCATGCCTCTCTTTCATGCTTATGCTCATGTTAAACAAAGTAGTGATGGGCCCCCCAGGAAAAGTGTTTGTTGGGGTAGTGGTACCACTCATTGGGTTGCTGCCTGTGGTCATGCCATACCCTGGGCTGCTGGCTGGGGGAAGGTTTTTCTTCACCATATCTTCGACTGTCTCTGCAATGAGGGACAAGGCTGGTGTGTCTGCTTGAATTGTTTCTGCTTTTCTACGAATTGCTCTCATGGTGACAGGAATGGACATACATCTGCAAGACACAAGACAAAAGGATTAGCAGGCGGTTTGCAGCAATGTGCACTGAAGATGTTTTTAACAGCTTCATCAGACAGAAAGGAAACAGCAAGGCTCTTCGGCACAAGCGAGCAACAGGCCCAGGCACTGTAAATGCCCTGCTGTTGTCCTTGTATTTACACTTATCCCATCACGCTTATCTAGCCACCAGACAACCGTGCCTTTATGCATTGCCTTGCAACACAAAGGGAGAATTAATCCATCAATTAACTCTAGTAACTAACAGCTGACAGATCATGATCTTGTAGTTAAAGCACAGGATGCAATCTGGGTCGGAACTTTGATTCTGCCAGAAAACACCTTTGTCCCAGCTTGGCAAACCTGATTTCCTGGAACCCTGCAAAAATCAATGCTAATGCCACATTCTACTCATAATGTTCTGAAAGAAAAAAAATCACTGTTCTCACTGAAGAGGTCTGTGTCCTGCACTGGCAACATTCTGCTCTGTTCTGACTGGTGGCTGGGGTGGAGAAACCTTGATAAAAGGCCTGTGTAAATGACAAACTGCAGGGGAGCTCTCCCATGTTTTACAAGAGTTAAAAAGCAACTACAGGAGAAGGCATAAATAGGCAGGCACCTGACATGCACCCGAAAATAAGTAGCTATGGTTCAGCATCTGGAATGGAATTTTCGATAGGGTTCCAAGCTTTCCTCTCTTCCAAACAACCACCACCAAAACTCACCCACAGACAGAACGGCTCCCAAAACGCTAGGATAAATATGAGCTAGGCAAAGAGTCCATTGATTTGGAGCGTACGGTGGGACACAAAATCCAGCTTACCTCTGAACAACTTTGGCAATGAAATCATCTGTACAGATAAGAGCATCAGACAACCCTTTGTACAGCTTACAGTTCACGTGAGTAGAGTCCTGCACATCCATTACCACTAAAAGAGAGAAGGCATTTGGAAGAGATCAAAATCCTGGTTACAGTGGAAGAAAACCCCACCATCCTTCCCGTAAACACACTCATCCTTTTACTGAGTCCACTTACCACACACCAAGGAGTCATTCACGGGATGCTGAAAGGATACACTAAAGCAGGAGTCAGAGAGAGGACAAACTTCAAACTGCAGGATCCCAGGAGAATCTGAAAGACATGGGAACTGTTAAGTGAGGGACCACAGGAGATGAACCACAGGCACCAGCTCAATACCCCCATACAGAAGAAGAAAAAAAAAAACCAAACCAAAAAACCACAAAGCAGCATAGGCCTCATCTCTTATTCCTACACCTGGGAAAATATCCCAGGGTTTCTTATTATCCACACATTATATTCCACTTGATGCGGTACCCACCTTCTTTTAACACTGTTCGCTTGACACAGCTGCCAATCAGTGTGTTGTACGCCACCTGATGTCTGATCAAATTGAGGATGAGAGGAACCCGCCCAGGGTGCTGGAAGGCGATTTTACTAATCAGAGTTCCTTGAAGGCTTCTTCCATCTGGGAGAGGAGCATCTTTGTTCAGAAAGTAACAGTGCTGCTGTCCTGGAAGAGCCTGACAAACAATTTCTGCTTTACTCCAACTACTGCTGGGTACAAGGCAGTAACAGACATCTGGGGAGGGAAGAGCAGGCCCCAGATCCAAGTGACACCAAGCCACCTTTCTGTCTCAAATGACAAACAGTGAAGACGCTTTCCCTCCAGTCTGAACAAGCAAACCACGATTTCAGCTCCTCAGAAGTAGTACTGCTGAGCAGTATTCACTGTCCCCACTAAAACAGTTTCGTAGGGTACAGCATCCCTTCTGAGGAAAAGAGAAATCCTCTGAAGTTAACAGGAGATCCGTCACTGACAAATTTAAGAACGAGGATTTCTCCCGAAGTGACGCGATTCATTCAGCCGCACATTACAGTCTGAATGAGAGGAAGGGACAGAACCTGGGAAGGCTCAGTCCCACATCTCTGCTGTTATTCCTGCAGCTGCACTTCAACAGCAATGGATTTTTCATTACCTAATTTTCCTAATTACTGTGCTCACGTCTGTATCCGAATTCTAATGCTTGGCTAGCATAGTTTCTGCCTATGAATAAATGCTGTACCCATTTCCTTTATCCTACTTGAAAGATATCCGAAACAGATGAAAAACCCCAACCTGCTCATCTATGAGCACAAGGCCCCGGTTGTAACAACACACTTACTGCGTAGAAGCGCATATTGTGATTTAAAGGTAGAGGATCAGCCTCCTTGGATAATTCAAACTGTGTGATCAACTCATACAAGGGTACAAACGTTGGTGGTGTGTCGAACAACGGAATACCTGAGGGAACAAGACGGCACAGAATGATAGCACCCAGGAGCCAGAGAGAGCAGCCCAGACAAGGCATAACCTGGAAAGCGATCCAGGTTTTACTGAAAACAGAGCAGAAAACCTTGAGCAAATTTTCTGGCACACATTAAAAATTAACAGCAGTTTTTATTAATAAAAACCTAGGGAGTGTCTGTCTGACAGATCTGCAACCCACCTGTGCAGGCCTGAAGTTTCTGAATGAAAGCTCTAGACACTGGAATGGGACGTGGGAATTTCAGGAAGAAACAAGCTGGTAAGTCCACACTGTTGGCACTGGTGATCGACGAGAAAGAGGGAGTTCTGAAACAGTGGGTTAACACAAGATCTTATTAGATGCAGGGCATGACTCTGCCTTCTGCTATCAGCACCAGACATCCAGTTTACTGTTTGCTCGAATACGAGCAGATCTTTCTACCTTCTTAAAAATTCAGACACTCCTCAAAAACACGTCCTGTGCCTGAAATATGTATTTCTTGGCTTAAAGACAACATGCAAGTGCTTTATATAAAGCTGCGACATCATGCAGTCATCTCCCCACTCTGATTTCAACAGAGGACTGAATGTTGAATTTGCATCTAAACAAGGTGGCTGAGAAAGGCCTGGCAGCCGCGTCCTTTGCTTACCCTTTGCTGTCAACTGGATGAGAGCCCATAATCAGTGGTGCAATTGGAAGTTTGTACATAGCCATGGTTCCCTCAACCGTTACCGACACGTTCATACCCAAAGACCGAGGAACTGCAAAAGGAGGCAAGAAAAAAAAACTAGCAACGTAAGCTGAAGAAAAACCAAAGCCAACAATGCAAGCTTTATGAATTAAGTATCACTACGGTGGAAATGTCTTACTTCCTCCACAAGGCAGAGTTTTCAGCATTCACCTTTATCACTAAATGGACTACAGCCAAACTAGTTAGGCTACATAATGCTCTAGTTTTCTCTTGCAAGGTAAACCAGTTGCATAACTCTTAAAATAGATTCCAAATACATTTGCAAGTTTGTAGCGTGCTCTTTACAAGGCAAAACAAATAATGATTTTGGACAATTTCACCCCCTCCTTTCCCGAGACCAGCCTCAATTTTAATTGGTGCTTGGTTTTGTCATTTTAGACAGATGTCCATGTAGATGTATAAAAAATAATCTTCCAGTAAGACGGCACAGAAACAAGTATTCCCATAATAAAATAAATCCCATGTTAACGATGAAATTCTCCCTAAGGAAAAAATCTCTGTCTGCAGACTGTCAGCCCATCACCCTTAGTAGCAGTCCAGGTCAAACTCCAGAATAGCCACAAGGTTCAATATGATGTTCAACTGAGCCAGCATTTACACACGGGCTTATTAAACCCGTGTCCCCTGTAAGTCAACCTCTGATTTTCCTGTATTATGGGCTGACCGCAGAGGGGACCCAGACTGTTGGAATTCTGCTTTCTTCTCTCCTTCAAGCAGTAGTAGCCCACACTAGCTTCTAAAGCTGACCTTACCGTTGTTCTCATGCAAAATAACAGGGGCTCCAGTGCCATCTTCAAATAAATCATAGGGCGAGACATAATACTTGAGATTCATCAGGAGACCTGTGGGAAAGGAGCTTTTCAACAGGCATCCTGACGACACAAGTTAACCCGATCGTTATTATCCCCGGTAACCACACAATATTTGCACTGTAAGGTAGCACACGCTGTGCAGAGCTGTTCGCTGCTGTTAAAGACACAGAGATGGCCATCTGCCGCAAAATCACCGCGTGTGGCTTTGTAAAGAAAAGCTGGCTTTCAGGATCATGTGGGACTTACAAATACTCAACCACCCCGTCCCTCTTTTAGTTTGATTAGCATTTTCCATTACTGCCATCGGTTAATGTGAAACTAATGTCCACAGAGGGGACCCTGAACTAATTAATTTTTATTCTTTTCTGGTTTAAGTGTTAATCAAAGATACCTCCACTCCGGGGGGTGAGATAGCCAACACTGCCATGAAGAATCTTGTCGAGGGGATTTGCATTGGTGGCTTGCCTGCAAGAGAGGCAATCACATGTCTGTAACGAGCCAGAGTCATACCTGAAGCGAAAATTCATGTGCTGATGGCAGTCTAAGATTCTAGCTCAATATACACACTTCTCGGTCACACAGAGGTAGCGATCTTACACTTCACACTGTTATAGGCAAAACAAAAGCTACTTTACTCTTGGATGGTTCATTCACCGAATCTACAGCAGTGAAATGGTCAAGTGTTTCTCAATTTTTTACTGTGAAACACATGACTCCTAACCCATCTAGTTATAAACTTTTTTTTTTTTCCTTTTAGAATGTCTTGCAATTGAATTCCGCAGTTAAAAAGGAATTGCTCAGAAAGCTCTGAGCATTTTTTCCCTATGTACATATCATCCCCCACTACCACAGGCCTTCTACAGCCTCAGCATTGTCCTTCTTAGCAACATCGTCGGACCATACAGGCGCTGATGGGGCACTTCCTGGGTCTGCAGTACTTGGCATGATCAGAATCAGCCAACATGATGCAGCGTTATTAAGAAAAAACAAACGGACAACAAAAACCAACAAGCCATATAGATGTCCTTACCAATACATCCCTGCCATTTTTGAGAGATCCAACTCTAAGGACTGCAGAGCCAAGTACATTTTAGTTTTAAGTTTGCTGGAAAAAAAACCCAAAACAAAACAATGTAAGAAAAATTGAAAGGAACTGTGTAATAAAATCCAACTTGCAGAACTGCTGGCTGACAAGCTGCAGTTCTTGCCATCAGATCGAGCATTCACAAAGTATAATTTCTCATTCTGCATTCCCACTTCACTTTAAATCCTCCCTACGCATTGTGTCCACATGCAGGCCACAGTGATGAAGTCAGTAGGATCACACAAAATGAAAATTTAAGCACAAAACTAAAAGCTTGTAGATTTGTTTGATTTTATGTATGTGGTTATAAATAAATATAATTGACTTACTTGTCTCCTGGCAACTTATACAGGTTCACAAGCCCCCTTAGATGCTTAGAAAATTCATCAAAATTTTTCTCTCTGAAAGGAAGAGGGGGAGGAAAAGTAACATGTATTCAAACTCGAAGCAGATAAGGTTTTGCTTTAAAAAGTTCTATTAATACAGACACTAAGTCACTTAAGAAAAGACTTTTGCTACATGAAAGCTACAAAATGTGTATTTTAAATGATCCAGCTTTAATGATTCTGATCAATATTGTGCTGTGGCTTCCAAGGTACCACGCACAGCAGTCAGAATCAGAAGTATCTGAACAAAAGCCAGAAAATCCCCTGGAGAAGCAGAGAGACTTTGCGGGGAAGGAACAGTTATGAAACATTTTGCAGTTCCAGACATAAAATAGCATCAGGTCAATACTGCAAAGAGAAGCCTGTCAGAAAACGCTACAAACGACTCTCGTTGCTCACCTCAGATGTTGCACCAGTTCTGGACAACTCTGAAAAGGAAAGAACATACAACAATATCAATGTCAAATGCAGCAATTTCAGTCTTTGTGCAGCGCAGCAACGGTAAAATATTAGGACAGTAAAATTTCTGAGCATTGGCTTTTCATGAGAAGCAACACAAAGCTCACAACTGCACATTGCTCTGGTTCTCGTTCTGCTCATCAACCCCCTCTGGGAAAAATTCAAGCAATCCTATTTCCTCTTAAATGACTGATTTGAAATAAACTTTTAAAACTGCAAAGCCTTAAGTTGAAAACCTATGCTCTTGTATAGAGATATTAAAAATGGTCTGTTTTCAGAAGAGTGGCTAAGCCAATGTAAACAGCAAGCTCAAACTCTCATACATGTGCAGAAGGGAAGGAAAGCCACTTTCCTTCAGCATTCCGCGTTTTAGCATTTTCCATTCACAGATCTAGGTTTTATAAGATTAACTTCCCTATCCTTCCCCCAGAATTAAAATTCTCAGAAACACAGCAATAACTTCCTCAAATAACGTTGCCAGCTATAGAATCCCCCAGAGAAAAAGAGAGCCCATCGGTACGACGGTCCGCACACACGTGCATTACATCAGTCAGGTTAGCCCCCAAGAACAGACTACTCCATGGAGGCTTTTACCTTCCATTAGAAGAAGCAGCAAAGGTGTAACGCTAGGTCTAGCAGAACATTAAATCTAATCCATTTCCTCTGCTCAAACAAAAGGCAGCCAAAACGGCAGCTCCGAAACCACAAAGGTATTACCCTCCTCTTTGTCGGGAATACATACCACAGGGTTTTCTCCATGGTGAGCCACCTTGACATCACACAGCAGCCCTGTTGGATCTAACTGGACCTCCACATAGAACATGTCTGAAGTGATGTAACATTCAGTGCCGTTTGCACTAAGGTGAGATCCAAGGCTTACATACAAAACAGAACAAAAAATCGCCATGAGATGCACACAGAAAAACCCCAATCAAACCAGCAGCGAGATTACAATGTGTACAGATAAACAGGAAAAGCTCAGGCCTTAAAATAAAGGAGAAGACCTACCCATTTTGCCTAGCGATAGACTCTAAGCGATCTGTCATGGCCGGCAGAGAAGATACTAGATGGAGAGAAGAAAAAACAAGGCTTAGTGAACCCCAGGAATCAGCATTAAACCCAATCTCAACTAGCTACTCCCTCCCGCATCTGCTCACACCTTCACATGTGCAACTATATCTACTATCTGTACTCAAAATACAGGTGGAACAATTTGCATAGAGAAAACCAAATGTTCTCAGAACTGCAAAGAGAGAAGGGATTTTCTTCCGCAGGCGGAATTCAAGTAGGGGCTTTTACAAGAAAACTAACACGGGCAATCTCGACTGGTACTGACTGGCACGAGGTAAGTGAGCTTATGCAAACGTGAACAGACATGCACTTGGAACGCAGCGAAACGCGTTAGCAACAAGCCTTGCTGGCTTTACGATTTGGACTTCCACAGCGTATCACCGTTAAGCACTTTGTAAAGTGCACGCACAGAATGTACCAACCTTTTAACGCCTTCTGCAAAGTCTCCAAACAGCTCACCAGATGTTGGTGCCCCCCAGAGTTCATCACAACTCGCTTTTCCTTAGTCAGAAAAAAAGAAGAAAAACGTCCTTTTTGTGTATCACTCAGCAAGAGGGAATTATTGCAACTTTTGATCAGTCAAGTGAGGTTTATTTAGGTAATTAAAAGCAGATTAGATTTCATTCCAAAATTACATCCTCATTTTGATTGCTGTAGGAGAACAGTATCCATTTCTGGAAGCAGGTAACAAAGGCAGGGCTGGAATTGATTTATTTTCTTTTAAGCAACTCGCTCATGGGGAAGAACAGACTGTAGCAACTTTTTAATCGGTATAAGCTAAGGGTTATATAAAAGACAACAGAAAAATAATGAGACAGGCAAACTTTTAACACCACAATATATGCAGAAGCCTTTGATGTAGCTCTCCCTCGCCTCCCGCTCCTCCTTCCCCCCACCCAGAGACCAGTATTTCAAATCCATGTTTGACGAAGCCAACACCGAGTTTTGAATATTACTGAACGTGGGAGCAAATTGCTTTATACAAAACACAACACCCTGAAAGACCAAGCGGCAGACTGGTTTGGGCTTCCCAGCACTGCCTGAAAGCACAAGTTTGACCCTTTTTCCTGGCACTGCACTGACTGCTGCCCCATGTCAATTAGGCTGTAGAGGGGGGAGGCTGTAATTAGGGAAGGCAAAAGCCCATCAGACAGAAAGGGGACAGACATCACTCCCTCCCCTGCACACTGCGGGGTGTGAGAACTGGCACGCCTCAACCATGCTGGCCCAGGAGGAAGTCAAGGCTTGAACAAAATGGAAAGGGCTTTGAAGAGATCTAACAAACCAACAACAAAATTATTACTAAAGAAACGTCAGAAGCCCTCCCGCTCAGATCCCGACAATTCTCACCATGACTTGACGGACTAACTTCATCGTTTCTGTCCAAGGTCTGTTTTGGTTGTACTTTGCGTGGAGCCTTTCTAAGAGGGTACTCATCTTATTCAGCTTCTCCGTTTCTGTAAGACAGGGGAATATTCAGAAAAGGGAATGAGACAGTATTTGCAGTTTAACAAATAAAAGAGTTTGGCAGTTGTAATGAAAATATTTTCCACCTTGAAGCTAAACATGATTTCAAAAAACTTATTTAGTGCTGATTCTGTGACCTAGACCTTAAGGTTAAGTAAATCTTAAGAATACGTCACAAGCTATCAAAACCTAAAGGACCATAAAATGCCTACGGGCCTGTTAGGAAAAGCCCAGCTCCTGTTCTGCACGGACTGTACAAGAAGTTGGAAGAGAGAACAGTAAAGATCTTCACGGACCCTTCCATCGCCAAAAACCTCAACCAAATCGGTCCGATTGCCAGTTGCCACAAATTCTCTGATCAGACGCACTCCTTCCTCAGGCTAGCTTGAAACCTGAGGGCTGGCGTCTCCTCGGTGCTGTTTGGGAGCCAGGGCACGGCTCTGTACACTGTGAGATAATGAAGCAGCGGAAGACTGGAGGGGTCACGGATCTCCACCAACCTGAAACCTACTCAGCCTGTACAAAACACCTCTCATACCCTACAAATTCCCATCTACTACCTGAGGTTTTACAAGCTCATTTCTGTATGTTTTAGAAAGTTCCACTGTTATGAATAATATCTCCCTGATGAGAGAAAAGGAGGGACACAGGATCAGTGACGAAGCAAAAAAACAAGCGTTGGACAATTTAGCTAAAAAGTTTCCAAGATGAAATGGTTCACTTTTTCCTTGTTATCTAGTCGGACACACACACAAAGACAACGCAGGTTTCAAAATAATTTTGTCCTTTTTTTTTTTTTGCTAAAAGGCAGCTTTTTCTACAGTTGCATTTGTCAAAAAATCCCAGCGGGCAGCACTGCCAAAACAAACCTTGTCACTGGCACTAGCGGGTCCACGGCAAACAGACATCTATGACACTTTAACTGCTGCAGCACACAACCCCGTAAACCCTCACCCGCAGAATTTCAAGGGTTTGTTTTCATTCTTGCTGCATGGACTGTTCGCAGGCCTAGCGCTGACCCTATCAACTCCAAGCACAAGAAAGAAAGAAACGTTTGCTCAACACTTCATACCTCTCAGCTAGGGCAGAATCACAGAATGGTTGGGGTTGGAAGGGACCTCTGGAAGTCACCAGGTCCAAGCCCCCTGCCCAAGCAGGGCCACCTACAGCAGGCATCCGGGGCCACACCCGGAGAGTTTCTGAATCTCCCCAAGGATGGGGACGCCACCGCCTCTCTGAGCACCCTGTGCCAGCACTCGGGCACCCTCAGAGTGAAAAAGTGTTTCCTGATGCTGAGGTGGAGCCTTTCAGTTTGTGCCCAGGGCCTCTGGTTCACCCCCAAAAAGGAGCCGGGCTCCCTCTGCCCCGCACTCCCCCGCCGGGTGGTTCTGTGCATGGATAAGACGCCGTTAAGCCCAGGGACGGGAGGGTTCTACCAGATCCCGGGCAAAGTTAGAGCCTCCCCAGAATATTCGCCTTTATTTTCTTCAAAAATGGAACCACCCCGCAGCCGGCACGGAGACCCAGAGGCCCGGGCGGGGGAGCGAGTCTCGGCGCCGCAGACGGCCCTGCACGGTG